GCCTCTGAAGAGCCCTTTCGAATCCTGCTCATTAAGCCACCAGCAACGAGCGAGGCCGTCGACCGCCCTCCCCGTGCCAATCAAAGGCGCATGAGTATCGGCCATGGCGCACGTTCCCATATCCCATGCGTCCGTCATCTACCCCGCGCCGTGCATGCGGCATACGTGGCGAAAAAGGCGGGCTTGGGACGAAACATGGAACGGGGGCTCCAAGATTGAGGAAGGCAAGGAGAGTAAATGAGCAGTGGCCCCGCGCTTTCCCCCTCTTTTCTGGGGCGGGTGAGGGCCGCCTCTTTACTATTCACCATAGGGTGACACAAGCATGCTGCGATCACGCCACGCATAACCCCCACGTCATGCACTCGGTGCGAGTTGCGGGGAAGCACAACAGATAAAGAAATCATGGCAGTTCCCCTTTGCCACGCCCACCCGCGCACTGCTTTGGGCCTGGCCCAACTACGCCTTGCGCTCATGTGTGGCCAAGGCCCGAGGGCTCCTATCGGTGTACAAAAGTATGGGTGCTTCTGTACCCCTTACTTGTGCACGGACGGTCGCAGCCACCCCTACAGCGAGGCTTGGTGAGGCAGAGGAAGATGGCAGGAGACAATAACAAAGAACATCAAGGCAATTGCTCAGAGTAGCGAGCAGCAAGAGGCAAGCAGGGCCACGCCCGGCAACAAGCCTTGCCGAGGTGATCTGCGTGGCCCCCGACAAGCCTCTTGCCGGGGCAAGTTGTGAAGAGACCAACAAGGCCACCACCCTTGGGTTTGAGAGCTCTAACACCATCAACAATGATAAAGACCAAGGTTTGAGGAGCGCATGCTCGGAAGCATGCGGCTCCTCACGAAGATCAACAACCCACGAGTCCACGTGGGACCAAATGATGAAGACCCCCGGCAAGACCCTTGCCGGGGAAGACTCCAAGGCCCCCGGCAAGCCTTGCCGGGGATGACCGCCGAGCCGCGGCCAGGCCCACGCTCGACAGGGTTCCGCCACCTCACCACCACTCCAACACGGTGATAAGCATGCCAGCAAAGCAGGCGCCTGCGTGGCGGCATGTAGATCTTCGTGGAAGCATACCATTTTGCCAACACAGCAGCTGGTTAGCCAGCGTGGCACTGCATGCCTCGTCAGCCCAGACGCGTGGCAAGACGAGGGGGGTCGACGAAGGACGGGATGGCCTCTGTTGCCGTCCCCAATAAAGCGAGAGGACATGTATGCATCGCATTAAATGCGCTTGTCCTATGTTGATCGAGCGATAATCTCGTATCACTGTAGCTTGCCACCTCCCGTGTGCCGCTGTGGCAACCCCTTTGTGTATAAAAGGAGGCCCAAGGCGCACCGAGAAGGGGATTCAGACTTTTGGACAAAGCAGGCATCGTATCTAGTTCAAAAGCTCAAGAACACACTCACATAACCAGATAAAGCAGGACTAGGGTGTTACGCATCTTTGCGGCCCGAACCTGGATACAAATCCTCTGTGTGCTAATGACTCGACCTGCTCTTCATGCAACTAATCCCCCGCCGAACGTAGAAGGGATCCTTGTGACCCCATAGGTGACCGGTTCCCCTGACAAATTTGTTATGTATGGATGATGGATGAGATTCCGTGGATAGAGAGTCAGTTCCAATAGACTTATGGAATGTTCCCGTTCGTGTGCATCCAACAGGAATTAAACCCGCAAATTTACCAATTATGAATTGAGCACTTTAACCATTCAACCATGGATGCTTAACAGGGATCATCGTACATCGTAAATAACCAATTTTCATATAGAAAGACATATCATAGAAAAATGAAATTGAAAATATTCCGAGATGGCAAGTATTGGGAGACGACTATGAAAACACCTCTTTGGATCCTCGAATTGAAAGAGAGATTGAGAGGGATCAAGAATCCTAATTCTCGCTATTTGGAATGGATCCAATTCTATTGAGTGTAACTCATAGTGATCATTTCTCTTTAGCAAAGAATGACCTTGGTTATCAAAGGATTGAACAACCATGATCCATTTACTTATGATACCTAGTTGGCATTGATAACAAGGATCTAATGAATTATGAGTTTAATAGATCCTCTTTAGCAGAAAGACATATATTGCTTGCTCATTATTAGACAATCACTTATTCCCAAACCTCGTGTGGGACTAATCGTTTTCATTTACCATCTCATGGAAAACCCTTTTCGTTCCGCTTAGCCCTATTGGGTATTTTAGTGTTAGGTTCTGTATGAACTGGATGATCCTATTTGGTCAAATACCTAACAAAAAATTATGATTTTCCTTTCATTAAGGTGTGAGGGCTTCTTATTCCACAAGAGCGAAAGCACCTTTTCATTCTTTCATATACTAGGGTTTTTACTTGGAAAAGACAATGTTCCATACTAAAGGATTCGGGTCCATAACCACGAGTTCCAGTGCACTAGATCTTGTAGCACTTAGCAATGAATCCCTATCCATTAGTATTCCACATAAGAAATCCATTCTAGAAAAAAATACAATTAGATTAGCTCTTCATAGACAAACTTGGGGTTTACGAGCCAAGGTAAGATCGGCTCGGGATCATGGGACCCTTTTCTATCAGATAGGAGGGGCTCTTGTACAAAATAGATTACTAAGTAATAACCCCATAGAATCTATCTGTATAAAGATAAAGAGGCAATCGTGTCAGGAAGCGGGTTTTTATTTGGGCAAAAGGTACTTCGAACTTGGAACGAGCATGAAGAGATTAAAGAGACTTCTTTCTCTTTTGAGTTTTTCCCCTGGAACCAATGAAAAAAAGTGGATCACTTCTTATGTACTCGCAAGATCTTTGGTCTTCCCCTGGAACCGCGCAAGATCTCTGGTCTTCCCCTGGAACCGATGAAAAAGAGTGGATCGCTTCTTATGTACTCGCTCAGAATGATTCTTCGCTATCTATAGTTCATGGCCTATTAGAAGTAGAAGGTGCTCTCATGCAATCCTTACCGATAGAAAAATATTGTAGTCTGGGTGATAATAGTCGAGTGACATTACTTTGTCGGTCCGAACTAAGGAATCTGTTAGAAATGGTTTGAAATGGATATTTTTCTCTCTTTGATCAGGGATTGCTATATGAAAAGAAGTGGAGTTTGAAAAAGGGAACGGAATGCTCAAACGGAACTGCTAGAGGAACGGATTTTCAATAGCATAACTTGGGCTCCTAGAATATGGCGCCCTTGGGACAATCTATTTGATTGCAGGGTTTTGTTCTGAAACAAAGATATCCGTGGAGGCCGGTTCGTTTGTCCTATTATGATATTCAGGACCAAGAGATACTGGATTCTCTTTTGAATAGGCCCTAAAAGGAGAAGAAAGGCTGAAATGCCAACGGACCTCTGTCTATTCTCTAATTCACCCAATCCGATAGTACCCGTTTTTGGAATGTCCGGTGCCAAAGTCACTGAATGGGCAAGTCACCAATCCAATCCCTTTGACAAATTGGATGTCATATTAGATATATATAGAAATATCATAGATAGAATAGACATATAGAATTTTTGGTCGGCAAATTCGACGGAATCATTGAGTGAAAAATGATCAAAGAATGACAAAAGACGAGACTCTACTAGTCTTCACTCTTGTGGTCTCCTCTTCCTCGGTTTCTGTTTTCTTATTCGGGATCTTGCTTTTCATGGTTCTCATCTCCCCAACTCGCGATTTTCGCGAGAGAACCAAATCCAAGTTGGTGAAGATCATGATTTGGGCTGGCACAATATTGGGATCATTTGATTGATTTCCTTGATTTGATCGCTACTTAATGGGTGTGCGCTTAAAGGATACAAACATGGATTCGCAAACAAAAAGGGGAATTCGTAGTCACTTTTTCATGTCGCGTAAAAAAAGTCTTTACGCGAGAGCAATAGAGGTTGGGATACATCTATCTCTTCTGAGCAACCTCTTTTGGATTCTTAAGACCACCCTTGCAGTAGGATATCACATCTGCTTTGGGTTCTTTATTATCTCCTTCGAGGAATTTTTAGGACCATTCAGGCTATATATATTTAGTCTATTTTGGCGTTTACTGTCTACTTTTCTCAGGGAGATGGCTAAGGACCTCGGAAGATAGAGGAGAGCGCCAGACCCAGATTTCCGGAATACTTCTACGGGGAATGCTCATTGAATGAGCATTCTCCATATTATGCCTTGAAGAGGACTCGAACCTCCACGCTCTTCAGCACGAGATTTTGGGTCTCGCATGTCTACCATTTCACCATCAAGGCATCTTGAAAGTGAATCGTATTCCATGAATATGACATCTATCTAATGTGATATATGGAATATATGACAATGGTGGAGTCTTGAAGTATTTCGATCGATCGGTCATATAGGCTTGAGTCAGACATCAAATAGCTTCGATTAACATTATCCGTAGGACACCTTATATGTATCAAAATTGATATCAAAATCAAAAATATGAAATATGTACAATCCAATTTTTCGATTCAATAGAAGCCCAAAGAGGTGCATATGGTACCCAAATAAGAATATGATAGATATGTCAAAAGCAGGTCTGATTACACCTATTCCTAATCCCAAATAGAATGTAAGGACGTAGGGATTTCTATGTAAACAGAGTATCCTATTTTCATAGGCTCGAATGACCCCTTCTCATAATAAGAATGTGCATGGTCTGGTTCGGTGTGGAATGAACTTATAATCTGATGATCGAGTCGATTCCATGATTATAAGTTCATAACCCTAGCGCCCATTCCCATTTTGGGCGGAACAGATCTACTAATTCTTTTATTCCAGTTAGTAAAAGGGATCTTGAACTAAGAAATAGACCTAGCAGCTAAAAGAGGGTATCCTGAGCAATTGTAAGAATGGGGTTCATTGATATTCCTGATATAGTAGATGCTATCACACATACAGTCATGCTCAATTCGATGGAACTGTTTGATCTTAAAGGGGATTTTCTATAATTTCGCACATAAGGGGTTATTTCTTGGTTTCGTCCAGTCATTAATAACTTGATTATTTTTAATAATAGTAGATAGAAAGAACGCTCGTAAGGAGTCCTATTGAAACTAAGAAATATAGGCCTACTTGCCATCCACACCAGAGTAGATAGAGTTTTCCGAAGAAACCTGCTAGTGGAGGAAGGCCTCCTAGATATAAGAGACATAGGGCTAAAGAGAGAGCCAAAAAAGGATCTTTCGTGTATAATCCTGCATAATCTCGAATGTTATCAGTTCCGGTACGTAGACTAAATAATACAATGCAAGCGAAAGTTCCTAGATTCATGGAAATATAGAACAACATATAAGTTATCATGCTTGCATATCCATCATTTGAGTCTCCAACAATTATTCCAATAATTACATATCCGATTCGCCCTATGGACGAATATGAAAGCATACGTTTCATACTTGTTTGAGTAATAGTAAGGATATTCCCAAAAATCATGCTAAGAATAGCTAGGATTACCAGAAGAAGGTGACATTCGTTTGATGAGAAATAAAAAGGAATATCGAGAATTCGCGTGGCTGAAGCTGAAGCAGCTACTTTCGAAGTAACAAAAAGAAAAGCAACGACTGGAGTGGGGGAGTCGGAGTCAAAAAGAGGATTCCTTGCTTCTTTCTCTCATGCAAAACCATGCATGAGACTTTCATCTCACACGGCTCCTAAGTGATAAAAGAAAGAAGAACTCGTCTTCTTTCTTTTTTGATTACCTTCCTCGCGTATGTATAAGACCAAATCCATTCTTTTTCGAAATCAATTTCAAAAAAGAACTACTAATCCTTAACTTTTTGAGGAATACTTTTTCAATCCTTTCGACCTTGGTTCCGTAGGATCAAGTCAGAAAGGTTGAGAAATAGAACAATCTGATTTGATTCGTTCCCAATAGCCATGAGATGATCATCTTAGGGTGATCCTTTTGTCAACAGATGCTCCTATTGGGAACCGATATATAAAAAATGCTTTACGAGCTAACCAAAAAAAGATAAATATGCTAGAAAATCTCATAAAAATTAGAAACATCTGATCGTCTATTAGACACAGCAGTAAAACATAACCATTGGATATTATTTACGAACAGAATTTAGAGAAATTACCCACCTTTGCCATTAAGTAAAATAAGACATTTCATTACCTCTTCACGTGGAAAGAAAAACTTCCTACAAAAAAGGATATTATTTACTAACAGAATTTAGAGAAATTACCCACCTTTGCCATTCCATAAAATAAAACCTTTTATTACCTCTTCACGTGAAAAGAAAAACTTCCTAAAAAAACACCCCTGCAGCTTCGTCGTTCAAGCTGCCGCGTGATCTGTACGGGATGCCCTAATTTATTGGACAGCGGGTGCTTGGCCGGGATGGCTGTTAGACTGTATTTACATGTGTATATTGTAACGTTGTATACCACCTCATTATATATATATGTGATAGGCCACCCCTAGAGGGTTGTGCCGGTTCCTCCAAAGCCTATTGTCTTACATGGTATCACGCTAGGTTACGTCCGCTTCCGCCTAAAAACCCTAAACCGCCGCCGCCGCCGCCGCCGCCGCGGCGCCCGCCGCCGCCGTCGCCCGACTGCTATGACGTCCGCCGCTGCGTCCGGCTCCACCGCCACCGGTTTTCTGCCGGCCTCCCTCGCGGCACTTCTCTCGAGGCCGCTGGATGCCGCCTTCCTTCAGGCGCCGATCGGGACACGGAGCGTCGGCTCCCTCTTCGCGCTCCCGCCGGCTTCTACTTCGCCCGGGCAGGCGCTTGTGGCTCACACCACCGCCGCCCCGTCAACCGCGGCTGTCACGCCCTCGGTCACTGCGCCGCTGGTGGCGGAGGATGTCGCGCTGGCAGGCTTCGCGGCGTCAACCGCGGCCATCGCGCCCTCTGTCACCGCGCCGGCTGCCCCTCCGACTGTCTCCACGGTGTTCTCACCTCAGCCAGTCTCCTCGATGGGATTGCAGCCACCGCCGCCGTTTCACTTCGGCCATCTCATCACCATCAAGTTGTCGTCGGACAATTACATCTTCTGGCGCGCGCAGGTTCTTCCGCTTCTTGGGAGTCACTACCTGCTTGGCTATGTCGACGTCTCTCTCCCTTGCCCTCCTGCGCTGGTTGACAGCGTGCATGGTCCGGTCTATAATCCGGCTCACCGTGTCTGGACAGGGCAGGATCAGGCGAACCTCTCCTCCATCCAGGGGTCGCTCTCTCCGACCGTTGCTGGGCTTGTTGTCTTCGCCAAGACGTCCCACGAGGCATGGACTATTCTTGAGCGCTCGTTTGCGGCACAGTCGCAGGCTCGTGTATCTGGGCTCCATCGCCAACTTGGGGAGTGTCAGAAGCTTGACTCCACCGCCACTGAGTTCTACAACAAAGTCAAGAGTCTCGCCGACACGCTGGCCTCCATTGGACAGCCCCTCACCGACTCCGAGTTCAACTCGTTTATTGTCAATGGTCTTGATGAGGAGTATGACGCCCTAGTCGAGATCATCAATGAGAGGGGCAACTCCACGCCCATGCCAGCACACGAGGTCTTTTCACGCCTCCTGCTTACTGAGCAACGAGTCGAGACGCGCCGATCCAGGGGCAACGGCGCCCTCTCGGCAAACGCCGCCACCAAGGGTGGTCGCTCCTCTGCTTCATCCACGGCTCCTTCGGGGCAGTCACCACCACCCGCCTCGGCCCCTCCTCCTACTGCGACGCTACCAGGGGCTGGCGGTCCCCGTGTGTGCCAGCTTTGTGGTCGCGATGGGCACTGGGCCTAAAAGTGTCACAAGCGCTTCCAGCGGGGTTTTCTTGGTCTTGGCAATGACGGGAAGGATACACGCAACTTTGCTCGCCAGGTCGCCATGGTTGATCGTCCGCCGCCGCAGAAGCCACAGGGACACACTCAGTCCTACTCCATTGATCCCCACTGGTACATGGACTCTGGGGCGACAGAGCACCTGACCAGTGAGATGGGGAAGCTTCACACTCGTGAACCCTACCATGGCTCCGACAAGATCCACACCGCCAATGGAGCAGGTATGCACATCTCTCATATTGGTCAAGCATCACTTCTCACTAGACATGCCAATAGGAGTCTTCAACTTCGCAATGTTCTTCGAGTTCCATCTGTGACACGTAATCTTCTTTCAGTTCCTAAACTCACTCGTGATAATAATGTGCTTTGTGAATTTCATCCTTTTGATCTTTTTATTAAGGATCGGGGCACGAGGGACATTCTTCTTAGTGGGCGGCTCTGCCAAGGTCTCTATCGTCTGGAGCATCCTGGCGTCGCTCGCGTCTTTAGTGGAGTTCGGGTATCTCCGTCACAGTGGCATGCTCGTCTTGGTCACCTGGCCACACCTATTGTCCGGCATGTTTTGGGTCGTCATGAGCTTCCTAGTGTGTCTAGTAATAAAGATGTAGCAGTGTGTGATGCTTGTCAGCAGGGGAAGAGTCATCAACTTCCTTTTTCGGAGTCTAGTCGTGAGGTGAAACATCCTTTAGAACTTGTGTTTTTAGATGTATGGGGTCCTGCTCAGACTTCTGTTAGTGGTCATAATTATTATATCAGTTTTGTTGATGCTTACAGCCGCTTTACCTGGCTTTATCTTATCAAACGTAAATCTGATGTGTTTGACATTTTTGTTCAGTTCCAAAAACATGTTGAACGCCTTCTCAAGCACAAAATTGTTCATGTTCAGTCGGACTGGGGTGGCGAGTATCGCAACCTCAACTCCTTCTTTCAGTCGCTTGGGATCACTCACCGTTTAGCATGTCCACATACACATCAGCAGAATGGTTCAGTAGAACGTAAGCATCGTCACATTGTTGAAGCTGGTCTGACTCTTTTGGCCCATGCATCTGTTCTGTTTCGTTTTTGGAGTGATGCTTTCACCACTGCATGTTTTCTCATCAATCGTACTCCCACTCATGTTTTGAATATGAAGACTCCCATTGAAGTTCTCCTTAATGAACAACCGGACTACACCTTTCTCAAGGTGTTTGGGTGTGCTTGCTGGCCCCATCTCCGTCCATATAACAAGCGTAAGCTCGAGTTTCGTTCCAAGAAGTGTGTTTTTTCTTGGTTATAGCTCTCTTCATAAAGGATACAAATGTCTTCATGTTTCCACTAATCGTGTCTACATCTCTCGGGATGTTGTGTTTGATGAGCATGTTTTTCCCTTTGCCAAACTCCCTGTGTCCACTACCGAGCCACCTCTCATGCATTCATCCTCTGTTGCTTCTGACCAATTTGATGATGTTGCATATTCTCCTCTATTGTTGCCTAACCATGGTGCAGGCACTGGTCGTGGGGCTCGTTTGGAGATTCTGGAAGCGCCATCTTCCTATTCGTCGCCATCGCCTTCATCCTCGGCACCTTCTGTTGTGCATGAGGAGCACATGGCGCCCCTGCATGGCCTCGGTTTCCGTGCTCATGCACGGCCGATCGACGTCCTGGCCCGGTCGCCTCTGGCTTCTGGGCTGCCTTCGCCATCGTCGCGCCCTGCAACCCCGCCGACTGGGCCGGCCTCCTCGGTCCCAGTCTCGCCCAGGGCGTCGGGGCAGTCATCACCAGGCCTGGCCTCGCCCGCCCCTGCCTCGCCCAGGGTGTCTGGGCCCTTCTCACCAGGGCCGGCCTCGCCTGCTCTTGCCTCGCCAAGGCCGTCTGGGCCGGTGTCACCGGAGCTGGCCTCGCCCACCCTCGGTTCGCCCATGGCCTCTGAGCCCCTGTCGTCGGGCCAGTCTTCGCCATGCAGCCCGGAGTCGTCTGTCCCGAGCTCGCCTGAGGTGATTCCTGCATCTCCGGCGACCGTCACGTCTCCGTCACCTTCACCTCCGCCGGCTCCTGCTGTTGCTCTACGTCCACATACGCGCAGTCGGAGTGGCATTTTTCAGCCTAAGCAACGTCACGATGGCACAGTTGCTTGGTTAGCGGCGTGCATGTCTGCTGCTCTCGCAGATCCATCCTCTGAGCCACGCACGTATCAAGCTGCTATGCGCATTCCTCATTGGAGAGAGGCCATGGAGCAGGAGTATCAAGCGCTTCTTCGCAATCAGACATGGACTCTTGTTCCTCCACAATCACGGGTAAATGTCATTGATTCCAAATGGGTTTTCAAAGTGAAGAAGCATTCTGATGGGTCCATTGAGCGCTATAAGGCTCGTCTGGTTGCTCGTGGTTTTCGACAGCGTTTTGGACTTGACTATGAAGACACCTTCAGTCCAGTGGTCAAGCCTACTACCATCAGACTTCTTCTCTCTCTGGCTGTTACTCGAGGTTGGTTTCTTCGTCAGCTTGATGTTCAAAATGCTTTTCTTCATGGTGTCTTGGCGGAGGAGGTTTACATGCGCCAGCCTCCGGGTTTCTCTGATCCGGATCGCCCTGATCATCTATGTCGTCTGTCCAAGGCAATTTATGGTCTGAAGCAGGCTCCTCGTGCTTGGCATGCTCGTCTTGCAATGGCTCTT